TGAAAAATAGACAGGAATTCTACATTTCAGATTAGATTCCAACCTTCCCGCATAGCACTGAGTATACATCCAAAGTATCTACGAGTTCCTCTAATGAGACCTTAACGTCTCACCGGTAAAGGTTGCACTAACAAACAGTTTGAAGTATTAACAGGTCTATCTTGTAATGGTTGTCGAGAACTGTATTCAACGTGTTGAATTTGTTTGGTACTCCTGTGCTGACCGTATAGTTGTATGTACTGAAAGCAATACTCCATCGTTGAACCATAGCAGCTGAAGAACATGCTAAATGTTTTTCAGGATGATAAATAATTTTTAAAGCTTCGTGACCAGTAACGATAGTGAATTTCTTTCCGAATAAATATTTATGGAGTATTTTAACAGCCCAAAACACAGCTTATGCTTCTCGCTGAGTTTATGAATAACCTTGTTCAGTAACAGTGTGTTTACGTGAAACACAAATAACTGGTCTACCTTCCTGTTCCAAAACTGCGACAATATCCACATGTGATGCATCTGTAATAATCAAAGAACGTACACTAGGGGCGTAAGTTCGAAGAACAGCATCACTTTGAAGAAATTTCGGTAGACCTCGTAAGCGTGACTTTTGTTCCTCACCCCATTTGAATGAATTGGATGTCAAAATATTAAATAAACAATTTGCACGAGGAGAAAAATTAGGAATAAAACGGGAACAGTATTGAAGAGCACCCACTAGTGAACGCAGTTCTGTAATATTTTTTGGAGATGGTGCATTTTTCAGTGGAACCAGTCGTTTCATACCTGGTCATAAACCATTACCATCAACTAGGTATCCAAGACATTCGAAACTAGATACACAACATGAACACTTATCTGGATTCACTGTAATATTCCTCTCAATTAAACGACGCAATAAAGCAATAAGTCTCTCGTCATGAACTACCTTATCAGAACCATGAGCAATTAGATCATCTTGATAAACTTCAACACGTTCAAGATCACCAACTACTTTATTCATAACTTCCAGAAACATGGCTGGAGAACAGCTTACACCAAATGGAAGGAACTTGCATTTGAACAGACTGAAAGGAGTGTTAATTGTCGTCAAAATAGATGAAGATTGATCTGAAGGGTTTTGAAGATCAGCATCTTGTAAAGCAAAGTATCAGAATTTTCTTTGGAAACTAGGAAAGACAACTTCACTTTAAGCCTTTTCAAATTCCTTAAACCCAGTATTGACAGTCCTGTTTCGCTAACTAAAAATTCACAAGGTATATATGAAGAGTTGTCATCTCTTACTTACATTTCGCAACATCTTCGTATGGGAGGTCTGTGTTCAGTATTTCTCAATATTGATACTTCAGTGGGTCATGCTAATACTTTAGGATCTAAATATTCCAAGTTCTTTAATGAAATAATAGACTGTATACTGCCTGTGTCCACATTCAAGTCATGACGTGAATAAAGCGATGTATACAGTCGCTTTTGAATATGAGCATTACCTTTCGAAATAGTAGAAAAAGATAAATGAACACTAGGAACATCCGAATTATTGAGATATAAATTACAAGATTTAGTACTACTTCAGGCGGAAGAGCTTTGCATACTGACTAGATGTTTCCTATCTGATAACATTTAAAACATTAAGCATTACGGAATACACATGAATTAAAATGAAATTCGCCACAGGATAAACATTTACCAAACTTGATCTCATCATTGTGATTTGCTTTGTAATTCCTTGCTGAAACGCCTTTCATGTTTACACGAGAGTAGGAAACACTGTAGCGTGGCGTCGAGCTGAGGTTAACTATGAACACCGCTACAGAGAAACCCGTGCCAAGTATTTCAGAAGGCGAAGGTTGAACGTAACCAAAGAAACACATAAAATCCCCGAGAAGCCAAATATCAGAAGGCAATTAATAGACCAAATCGAGATATATTCGCTGGCGATCTCGTTGCATCGAAAGGATACCGAAATCGTGCCAGGATAGAAGCTTGGTTATAGAACGTAACCGAATTCGCGCGAAGTCACAATCAAAGCGTGTGAATAAGAATGGAAGCACAGTCAAACAAAAGCCCATTAAAACAAACACTGGTACAGTTGGTTATAATAATAATTGTTTTTATTAAACCAGTCGTGTTCTCGTGATAAATGTGAGTCACTACAACACTATCAATCGAACGCAAGTTTGATTGACCCTGGGATTGTATTTCACCATGATGACTAAGCAAATTATTAGAAATTTTCATCGACTGGATATCAAGTTCATTCACTGCCTCGTAATTAACACATGCAGTTCTAGCATCTTGAAAGGAACAGTTCGGCATTTCTAACAGCTCTCTTTCCAAACCCGGTATGTTAATTCCTGCAATTAATTGATCTGTCAGTTGAACATGACGTTGACCACCGATATTACATTTCAAAGCCTTTTTCTGCATTTCAAGGATGAATTCCCTAATCTTTTGGTCATTTTGACAAATCATATTATGAAATTTCGCACTTTCACGGCATTCAAATCTAGTACACTTCACATGATTTAATAATTGTTCCTTAAGAGTTGCATAAAGAAGAGAGATAGGTTTTTCTGGATAAGCCAAACTTTTAATAAGCTGTACGCTTCTCTCCCAATCAGTGTCAGGAAATGTGCCAAAAGTTTATAACCTTTAACATCTTTCCCAGTTATGCTCCAGATTTCAATCCTTTCCAAATAATCCTCAAAAGCTTCAGAAGTTGAATGAATATCTAATTGCTCCATCGCGACGCAATGTCATTATTAGGAGTATTTGAATTATAGTACGAACTAAGGATCCCAGAAATAATGCAAGTTTATCAAGAAGTACTAGATAGGCACGAACGAATTTACTGTATTTGAAATTTGAAATCAGGCATTCAACAAGCACAATGGAATCATTAGTTCATTCAAACACCACACACAATTTAACCATGAAGTACTAGATGAGTATGAACGAACGTATTGTATTTGGAATTCGGAACCAGACAGTTATGATGAACAAAGAAATCATTATTTTACAAGAACACATCAGCACAAGGAAGTCAATCGGCACATACATGCTGGTGACAAAAGTACTAAAGAGATATTGGAAACCTATGATTCCTCGTTATATTTAGTTGCCTTGTTTAATGTACACATGCCGAATTCATGTGATTGTTTACCCGTTTAAGAATATAGTATCTAATTGACTGCGTGACCCTCAATTCAATGAACTCTATTCCGTTGGTTAACATTTACTCAGTTGTCTGAGGAGTTCAAATGCCCCATATGTGAATCATCCTTGTCTTCAATTTCTAGCGTTATTTGTATCCCGATGCAATTGCTAATGATCCTAAGTTTTCATTTCAATCGTATCTATTCGGTTCTGTCATACTTTGATTATTCATTACCACTTTACATGTTAGGTAATTCAAGTACTTAATTATGCATTCAGGAACACTTGTGTTCTGGTTTTTACATATTTTACTTATCTTCTACCACTCAGTATAAAGATAACGAATATAACAACATATAGGGTTAAAATCGTTTGATGAAATAATATTCCTTCAACTTCATAGTGAGGGACTCGTGTTCTCATCGCAATCTTGTTGCGTAATCTACACATCAGAGTAGTGAAAGCAGGTACGTTGACTATTATCATAGTTATAGACCACATATAAACTGTAGCAAACTTGTCATTGATGTAGTGAAACCAAAATTTGAACTAATAATAGACAACTCCGTTTTTTAACAATGTTAACAACAAACAAACTGAATTATGTAAATTATTTTCAATATATCAGTCACCAGACATACAGTGTATCACATTAGAATGGCTATTTGATGTTAACAAGTAATGACAATAAATATATAGATATTGTTTGTAGTAACATTTGAGCACATGTTGCTCTGTTTACGATATTATTAACGTGTTGCAGTCTGAAGGTTTACTGCACAATTAATCACATTACGTGTTCCTTCGGATTCAATCGATATTTATAACCTATCATTTTAACCACCTAAATTATCGGAATCCTACTCAGTAGTCTAACACGTTTATTGAGAGAGTGGAACGTCCTACAATTGAACCTCAGAAGGAATATGTATATCTTAGAAGACTAATAAGCCCTGATGAGTTGATATCTGAAAAATCTTTACACCTATTCAGAAAGTTTTTTTGCGTCACCTATGTCGAAGGTGAAATACCTATCTATCAATTAAGGGACGAGTATACTGCGCAGCAGTTCATTCTGTTCAACTTTACAGCTGCGAAATATGGCCATTAAGAGTAGAAGAAAATCGTAATTTACTAGTATTTGATCACAGATACCTTAGAAATATCTTTCGTATTTGATAGCATCACCGGATAAGTGATAGTGAGGTTAGACGCAACGTATCAGGGATTAATAGTAAATCAGTTGATAAGATTGTAAATCTTAGGGGCGGCCAAAGCTTAAAGTCACTAACTTCTAGTCTTAGCCATGTTGGTAGATACAGACTACTTGGTTGTGTTCCGCGTGACTATCGTAACCAATGGTCGGAGACAGTGTGACTTGTCTCAGAACCGATCACAATGGCGTCGGTGTATACACTCTCTGCTTTCGTTTAAACCTTCAGATTACTTTCTACGAACTAATTCCTTCTCCCCGTGTCATATCCTTATATACAATCGTTTTTTTTATATATTACTACCAGTGAAGTAACTACTTCTATGAATTCCGTGTTCATTTTGTTGTGCTAATGAAGTGTGGCAACTTGTACCGATGCATATATGTGCCTAGTCTTACATTGTAACTGACTGATATATACATATATATTTATGGATTATTGATCAGTTTCACGTTAGAATGAAAAGAGCTATTCAAGTGTTTCAAATATTCACTAGTCTTTCTCTGTGATAAAAAAACCAAACCCAAAAAAGATCTTTCTATTCATTTATATGTTATTATATCCTTCAATAAATGTGTATTTAGCCTTTTCCTTTTTTAACCAATCATATTCATCTTAATTCGAAATATTATAGGTTAACATGTTGTTACATGTGAAATGTCCATTTCAATTAATTATTGTCTATAAGTAATTAATCAGATCAATCATTGCATAGTAGTATAATTCAATTCCATACAATTTTGTTGTTGTTGTCGTCGTCGTCGTCGTCGTTGTCGTTGTCCTTGCTTGTTGTTGTCACCGTCATCGTTGTCCTTGTTTGTCGTTGTCATCATCGTTATTGTCGTCGTCGTCGTCGTCGTAACTTGTTTGTTTGTTATCAGTTTCCTATCTCTTCTAAATATTTTTCCTATATATGTTTTCATATTGCTTTGAACAAAATAAAAATTCTCAATTTATTCATATTTTTAATGATTATCAATTGAATAATAAAATTTTATTTTCATCATTAATTATCATTATGTTAATAACATGGAGTATATTCTATGTAATTATTCCTAATACTACTAGTAATACTACTACTACTAATAATAATAATGGAATAGATCCATTCAATACAAATAATTCTTTGGTAAGTTCATTTCGTTATTTGATGTAGAATAATATGTTAGGACTTAATGTTTTGATTGACGATATTGATACTTCATTTCAAATACCTTGGTATGTCCAAGGGTTGGGGGGACTTAGCATTCCATCTCGAAATACTCTCCATGTGTATACAGCCATTGATAGGGAAGTCCTACTCAATAACGTCTCGCATCATGGGTGTTGTTTACGAAACCGAGAGGATGAAAAGCGAATCTCTGGTTCTTAAACCGGGTTGGTGGATAAAGAAGGTCCACCTAGGGGAGTTGGAAAACCCTGATTCCATACCATTGGTCCACATGGGCTCCAGTATCCTGAAGGAACAAATGGCGTATGAACCACCTGTTGGTCAACGGCTACCATGGAACTATATCTCCTTACGACGTTCCACTGCCTTATGAATCAGACCTTTAAGTCGAAGGCTCTGGGTGTGCTTCCCTTATGTAAATCATCTGTTTCGGTCTAGGCATCCGGGTATTATCACAGCCCACGCACAAATCAAGTGACTTATGTAGCGCATATCTATTTGGTGCCTTCTTGTACCAATATTTTGTGTCCAAATAATCAATAATAACAGATTGTTTAAAAGAAACCTAATTACTGTTTCTAGTTGTGAATTTTATTAAACTATCAATAATCACATCGAGGATATCCATTGAACCCTGTTCTGTTCTCGATAGTTTTATTTCATCTATTTCGACTTTCTAGGTAAATTATTGATTTCTGTCAACTTATTTAGTGATTACGATTTTATCAGAAAGGGGTTTTTGTGAATATTATAATAATTTAATAGTTAAGTTAGTGAATCAATTGAAGTTAGACCACCATTGGAAAACTGGAATCATTGGACTGCCGTTTCGTCCTAGTTTAGGACTCCTCAGCGGTGTGCATCAACGATCCCGCTCGTGGGATCTGAACCCAGGACATCTAGACCACTGTGTCGACATCCAACGGTGTTAATGTCTAACTTCGATCAAGCCATAAATTTAGGCCACTGTCCACCATTACGATATTTGATATTGTTTGTGTCTACTAGATTTTATTTTTCAAGATTATAAATTTCACGCTTCGTTAACACGTTGTCATTCTAAACTATCAAGTAGCTTCATGAATAACTAGTCAATGCCTGAATTGATAAATATTATGTTCAGGTCTCCTTGTGAATATCATGGGTGAGTTGCAGTTACATTCATCTAATTACTACCAAATGGAGTCAAAAATACTTGCTACATTTGACTGTATACTACGATTGAACAGTTTGATAGTGAATAAGTTTTTGTTGAAACACTAGATATGACAATTACAACTAGAATGTTTGCAAACTGGACTTTTAACCGTAATCCTCTCATCTATTTAAAACAAAATAATGATAAATTCTGTTAAATATTTCCTGGAATTCTAGTGAAAAGCCGTGACCAGTGGAGTTCAATCGCCTTTGTTGTATAGGCAGTTACACACTGAAGACAATGTTGGACGGTCGCGCAATATCGTGGATTGATTAAAGTTACACATTAACACCATTACATGCTGCTCCAACGGTCTAGGGGTTAGGCGTTCGTCCCTGAGACTGAAGGTCCTTGGTTCAAGTTCATCATGCAGAATTGTGAATGCACTGTTGAGAAGTCCCGTGTTAGGACAGAACGGCCATTCAGTGCTTCCAGGTTCTCCAAGGTGTTCTAGGTTTAATAAAATTCAACTATTAAAAACTACAAAGTGAAACGTCTATAAGAATACATTTGTTTGAGGACTCTCCGTTCAAATTGTTTGCAATTAGTTTATGCACAAACGTAGTGCAAAATGTTTACTATATGAAAGGAAAACGATTGTACTTTACTGATTACTCCTGCATATGCCTATAATATAAACGTCTACACAATTATTACTACTGTATGACTTCAGTAAACTTATCACTTCATGTTTGAGCTTTATTTAGGAAGGTTCAGAAGAATGTGACTATGAATTCTGTTTATCGAATATTTCAATAATTGTATTTACTCAACCGTAACACTGGTTTGGTACATTTTAGTCTATGGAACGTTCTTCTATTAAAACAATTTCATATGAACCATATGATTTTCAATGAAAAGATATTTCAGTCACCAAGATTATTAATTTAAGCTATAAAGCCGTATTTACAGTTTGTTTTACATGTGACAGTTTTTAGTATAATAAGGGAGTATTGAGTCATGAAACAGAGTTATTAAAGGTAAAGGTAAAGGAGTTACGTTTTCTACGTTCGACAGCCTAATTGAGAAGCTTCCAGTGTTGTTGTTTTAGACGGCAACTCCAGCGCCTACTTCACCCAGAAATGAGTGTTCCAGTTATCCGATTAGTACGATATCAGCTCGTTATTTGCTAGATGGTAGAATGTTATAACCGACGTTTTTCAATAGTAAATCTAAGTTACCTAAAAGTCATAGAGATAATAAGAAACAATTTACAGAAAAGATGTAAAAGATAATTGCTTAAATTCACTTGATGTTGTTTTACTTGTATCTTCCCATTGTTATTTAGGACTTCAATTGATCAATATCTTATTGGTATATGGGCATCCTGTGCGGATTGCCTCGATATAGCCTTAAGTCCCAAGCTTTTTAAGCAAATATAGATAGTGGCTAGCAGTTGAATTCAGGACGAGCGTTTCGTTCTATGTGGGACTCGTCGGCTGGATGTAACTTCAACAAGATACTGATTAATTGCAGTTTTAAGTAACAATGGGAAGATACAAGTAAAACAACACAAAGTGAATATAATCTTCAACATTTAATGACTTTTTCAGATTATCACTTCAATATGTCACCATAAATTTGATTTTGATTCGTTGTTTCGATTTGAGTACTCAGAGGGGGGTAGACACTGTAGTTATTATTACAAAATGTTTTGACCAACTACTTAAATAGCTTCATCAGTGTAATTTTTTTCTGTTTTAGGAAAAGAAAATTCACATTGTGATCTTATTTGATGGTGATCGAGGTCTACAATATTTGAATAGTCTTCTTAAATCTATATTTTATCATCAAAATGGAAGATTTCGATGTGATTTAAAAGCTTGTTGTCTATCAAACTTTTGTGATCGATTTATGAATGATTGTCAAACTGTTATGAACAATGTTTCAACAACATATACAACTGTATTTCATTTCTTAATAACGACGATTTCATTAAATAGACAGTTGTTGAATTTGATGAATACATGGAAATTACATAATATGGAATATCATTTTTACAGTTGTGGTAATCAACTGGTAAGTTTTCACATGCATTATAACTAACTGTGTTACGTCACTGTACAAACGTTATGTTACATCAGTATTGATTTGATGAAAATACCCTCAGTGTTTTATTACAATGATTCCAATAATATCAGTACAGAGTTTTATGGAGATGGCACTATTTATAGTTTAAATTACAAATTGATATTAGTCGGACAACCATCAAAAAGCTAACGGGGCTCGATGACCATTTTGTCTTGGTAAAGCATTTCAGGGCCTCAACTCATGCGTCTTATCCAAGACCCCCGACCTCGCACATGTTTGCCTAACCACTAGGCCACTGAACTGGCCACCAACAGAATTAAAATCTTACTTCGGTTAATTCACGAGATTGCACAAACCTCATTCTTTGGCTGGAGTAGGTATCTGCCTCATACCCAACTCGGTTATACTCCACTGGTTACGGTTTCTCACTAGAACTCCAGAAGTTTCCTGTTGAAGCTTTTCACTAACAAATACATGACAATCGCCACTGTGAGGTTGTGGCGAATATTGTGTCACTGATGAGATAATAGTAGAGTTTAGTCGTGTCAGGTATGAGATAGGCACCTACCGACGACAATAGATGATGATTTCACAATATCCTAGTCTGACTAAAGTTAACTTGTACACGCTTGAACGCTCAACTAGTGCTTTAGAGGTCGAGCGTTCGCTTGCGAGATTCAAGGTTTTTGATCGGATTTCAGGTACTCTGTCGTGGATGTGCACTGCTGAAGTCCCATACTCGAATGAAACAATCGTTCACTGCTTCCATATTTTCAATGATTATCTAACTTAGATCGGTTCGTGATTTCAATGTTTACTAACTTGAATCTGTGTGATTCTTTGTAGACAGATATTTGGTGGATTCAATCTAGGCATCCTTCAGGTGCCAAACCATTTTTAAAATTGATGATTACAGAAATTCTTCCATCTACAATCAATAAAGTAAGTCACAGTACTGGATGTTCTCTCAGTAAGTTTCATAATATTTTTCATCAAATTTTTCCCTATAAATTGACTACAATATTTAAGTGTTTGATTCTAATGTCGTATGAAGAAAACAAGTTTACGTCAGTGTTCAGGAAGTAAATCTTATTCTAATACCACACTAATAAGCATGTAGTCAATTTTAAGGACTACATTTTGTGAGGAAGTACGAAACGTGAACACAGATGATAATGTAATAAGAAAAAGCATAATACCGAATTATATAATGGAAATTATAGCAGTACAATGCATTGGAAGTGATCATAAGAAGAAAGCTTTTCAAAACTAAATACTAAATGTGAATGAACGAGGTTAACTAACAAGAACCAAAAAAGTAGTAGGTATATGTCATGTTCCCTGGTTGTCAGTGCTGTGTAACTGCGATCAATCCATGATGTGAATTACATGCTAATTCAATCATTCATCTAAATGAGAAAGTAATAACGATTGACTAATACTAAGCGTAATACAAATACAAGCACAGACTTCTTCCGTTTGATTATTCTTATGAAATATTGAAGATATTTGTTGTTGACAGTGATATAAAATGAAAACGCCCGACAATTTTTTTATAAACTAGCATCGATAGCAAAGGTATCTCAAATTCAAAGTCAAAGTCAAAGTAGATCAAACTTGGATAAATGGACTTTGGAATAATAATAATAATAATAATAATAATAATAATAATAATAATAATAACTGAATATTATCTAGATTACGTAATAACAAGTGTTTAAATAATTAAATATTGAACAACATGAATGGAAAGCGGAAAAAGTACAAACATATAGGGGATATGAGAAAATTTATTAATCTCATGTGATATGTCGTATCCAGGGGTGTCACGAATTTTCTCTCGATAAATATACTAGAATTATAAGTTCGGAACCCAATAGATTCTGCTATATGTAGGCGACGGGATCTAACCCAATTGGAAAGTGAAGCTAAGTATACAATAGAACACTACCGTATGTCGATTAACGACTAGATACGCCAAGATAAAGCTATGTAGTGTCTTTGTCTGACCCTTTACAAACCAAACTCAGAGATTCACTTGATATTGTTTTACTTGAATTTTCCATTGATGTTTTTGGACTGAAATTGATCAATCTCTTATTGGCATATGTGCATACTGTGCGTATGCCTCGATATTGCCTTAATTTACAAGCATTATAAGCAAAGATGGATAGTGGCTAGCAGTGGAATCCAGGACGCCCGTTTCGTCCTGTTTGAGACTCGTCAGCTGGATGTAAATTAAGGCAATATCGAGGCATACGCACAGTATGCACATATGCCAATAAGAGACTGATCAATTTCAGTCCAAAAACATCAATGGGAAGATTCAAGTAAAACAATATCAAGTGAATTAAACTTCAACCCATTGCACAAGCAAATGGCTATCAGGACTCATTAGCTAAGTGGATAACGCGATGGCGTTTGAAGCGAGCGGTACTGAGTTCGAGTCCCAGAGTGAACATCAACTCTGAGATGCAGGTACATCCAGGTGACGAGTCTCAAACAGGACGAAACGCGCGTCCTGGATTCCACTGCTAGCCACTATCCATCTTTGCTTACAAACTCAGAGATGTTTACTTATATGTTCATTAAGTTACCTAGTAGTACAGTCGATAAAGTTATCTCCACAGGAACAAATGAACTTCCTAATCATCTTGTACTCACTATCGTTACATCAAACTGAAATCTGTTTCACAACTCAAATATGATCGAAAAGTGAATAATTAAAACAGATTAACTTTACTCCTCACCACCACCACCATCATCATCACCACCACCCCCATAAACACACATCGAATACAATCATGACTGCACTCATTTGATGAATATTGATTTGTACAAATTTGTACTGATTTCCTGAAAAAAATAACAACCACACTATCATCACATATCACAGGAAAATGCATAGAATAACTGAGACAACAAAAAAAAAACACAAAAGAACTTCATATCACATGTTATAGCATTAAAATCAATAGAAAATTGAGTAGATTAATGCAGTAAAATACGATTGAATTAATATTCAAAAAATAAATTAAGATTCTAATAACGATCAATAATAAGTCAAGATGGATGGTGACTAGTAGTGGAATCTAGGATGTGAGATTTGGAACTATTCAACTGGATGTATCTGCATCAATAATGAAGAAAACAATTACATCGAGTTAATAATCTTGTTTCATCATTTTATCGTATCCTAACACTTCCCTATTTTTTAGCGGGTTATGTAATGAGTCAAATTACTATGTAACTCTTCTATTTTCTAATGAAACACGATCGTGGATTATGCTCACTTGTGTATGATCCCATTTCCCTGGGATTCATTGTAAGCACTTATAGGTGTCTTCTATTCACGACAAATGGCCTTCTTTATTCTATAAAAAAAACCCATGTGAAATGATTGCCCTACTGTGATCGTCGAGCCAACTATTGTTGTACTGAACAGAACACGTGTGAGGACAATCGAATGAATCTAACGTACAATTACAGAGCATCTCAATGAAACACGATCGTGGATCATGTTCACTTGTGCATTAAATCTCTTCTGGCGTTTAATCGATGTAGTCGATCAAGTTTATAGAGGTACGATAAACGTAACTCTCTGAATCAACAACACTCACGGTATCTTCATTTTGAAACTTCTGGTTTTTATGGGTTCGGACACTGAACATTGGATGCTGCCAATGTTCAGAGGAGCTTTGTCGTGCATACTGTAATTCTTTCTCTACTGAAATCATGAACCGATCAATGTTAGACCACCATTGAAAACCTGAGAGCACCTGACAGGTGCTTCCTTTTGGTATGGGACTGCAACAGTTTGAATCGTCGACCTTACATGAGTGAATTGAATACAGGAATTTAGGTCTTGAGCAAATGTTTGACCACTGAGCCAAGGTCCAGAGGTGCTGGAGTCTCATACCAAAGAGAACCAGTCGTCCATTTCCCCCCAGTTTATCGTTGATGGGTTTATGGTTTCAGTGAACATGAACAATCTCTACAACCCAACACTGATAATCCTTTTTCTAAATTTGATCTTTGTCACAAGCAGCTAATAATCTGTTTCAAAGATTTATTTTCTTTAACTTAAAGGCATGCATCTGTAAAACGCGTTTTAGCAAAATATCTTCTATCATTAGACTTCGTGAAAATACTCTTAACTACAAGCAGTCGATGTGAATATTCTTTGAATTGAGTGTTCAAATTAGTCTAGAAGTCAACCTTCGGTTATGTCGATCCACTGAAAGTTTTACACACTACTACTTAGGCTGCCCAAAGTAAATGTTTCATATAATTGAGATAAACCATGTCCTTCAAACACTTTTACTACTTATCTGCTAACGATGGTGTGGTAAATGGCACCAGTCTTCAAAGTTTGAAGCGAAGCCGAAGATATCAAGATGCTTTTTAAACTGTACAACATTCAGGGAACTCACAAAATATTGAACAATACTTTGCTTTAGTATGACTGATGAAAGAGCAGGAGTAGACCTAAACTTTTGTCACACATCACCAGATAACAAAGTAATATCTGAAAAAGTATAAATCTGAAGGGTAATTTATTTACCGAAACCTTAGAACATTTTATCTTCCTAGCTGGATGAACACACGAAACATTGGGTGATGACTATAATTTCATTTCACTATAATGTAAAGCATCATAAAACCTACAAGAACCCACCTTTGTAACGTAACTGTTTACATTTATTGCATTTATTTGTTTTGTATGGATATCTTTTGGCAAAATGCCAACTAATGCAGAAGCAATAAACCGCTGACTGCCTTTCTTAACAAACGGATAGTACTATCCAATTTTTGTTGTCCACATGGTAAAGATACTTATGAACTTGTATTCTCTCTTCCTTTTGTATTGTGTATTACATTCAAAGCTTTGACACTTCGTCATCACATATTGTAAGGTCAGACATACATCATATTTCATACTTGTAGGATACGAGTACGGAATTCAAAGTCAGATGTTGACAGAAATAATAATAAAACATTGAACTGATCATGGGTTTTTGATTTCAGATTAAAATATTGGGTTGTGCGATTCACATTACCAATATAAGTGCTATAATCATCATTAGATTCGTCGAAAGTCTTTAAGAAACTGTATAGAAAGTTGGAAGACGACGATTGTTCATCATTTCTACTATAGCTGGCGTCCAAAGTGATTCCGATGCTATAGTAAAAGTAAAGTCATCATCTTGGTTCAAAACTGTTTCAACGTGATACAAAGATTTACTCACTAATAACTGAGAAAACTAAGCATTGACTACTTTGGCTAACTTCAAACTTAGCTACAGTCTGATATTTCTTAACTCAAGGTTGGAAATTGACAGATCAATAGTAGTTTAGCCGAAGTTGACGTCGTGTCGTTATTCGTGTCCATTGGAACGTGTGATTGGTTACGATTAATGACACTCGGCTATAAACAGAATAACGTACACAGGATGGAGAAATTATAATCAAAATTCTGATTGGTGAATCCAAGAAACTCCATCGAATCACGACGCAATCGTAACATAACGCATTTATATTGTCATCTTTACTTAGTGTTATAACTACCCTCGAAGATTTAAGAGTGGAAATTTTTATGGAATTCGATATCTACGATTAAATGTTTAGTCAGTTACCATCGGAAGTTTTCAACCTTGAATCAATATTTAGCATGGTTACATTAGGCTCCATTCATTTCAACTTCATATAGTCAAATGATAACTGGAAGATGAGTACACAAACCTGTACTTAATATTGACTAGATTAAAACGATGATATGTTACGGGAGTATATCATGAATGGGTAATTTGTTTCTATACTCTTGTACCTTTCCCTTTATAGGTAATTGTACTAGACATTGATATACTACTTAATACAGATATTATTGAATTATGGAATCATTTTGATTATTTTAAAGAAACTCAGGTTTGTTTTTTCAAATAATTGTTCATGTTATGATTGATTAACTGTTGATATTCGATATAAAACAAACACAAACCATTTTGTAATTGATCACATATCATACTATGATATCAAAGTGCAGTTGTTTTTTTTTCAAATGCTTAACAACAATTGAAGTGTATTAGAAGATTGATCAGAATTGAATCTTTTTTTATTTATCTTAACACATAGATATCGGTACAATGAGGCACCAAAACATATGCGCCACACAAATCTCATTTGATATGTGTGAGGGATGTGATACTGCCCGGGTGCCCAAACCGAAGCAGGTGGTATTCTTAGGGGGGCAAACCCCGAACCTTCGACCTAAAGGCCTGATTCATAGGGCAGTGGAGCAACGTAAGGAGATGCAGTCCCATGGTAGCCGGTGACCGACGGCTGGTCCATACGCCATTTGTTCCTTCAAGATACTGGAGCCCATGTGCACCATTGGTTTGGAATCAGGGTTTTCCAACTCCCCTAGGTGGATTCTCTATGTCCATCAACCCGGTTAAATCACCGGAGATTCGCTTTTCATCCTCTCAGTTTCGTAAACAACAGTAATGCCGCGAGAAGGCAATGAGTAGGACTTTCCTGGCAGTGGCTAAATACGCATGGCTATGTGAGAGCATTTCATGAGGGAGAGCGGACTCTCCCCACTCTCAGCTGTAACAGGGCATTTGGGGGCTGAATCGAATCTACATTCTACTTGGCTTACACGATAAATACAAAAAAATATTTAACTGAGTGTTGAGTACATAGTTCCCATTGGACTATAAAGTCACGACAAACCAAACACTATTATTATTATTATTATTATTATCTCAATTGAATGAATATGAATGGAATGATTTCATTACGAATTATTCGTAGATCCAACAGTATGAATTGTGAATACTCAGATTGTCTTCAATGAAACCTTTAAATGAGACAGTCATTTATGATATGATTCTTTAAATCTGACTAATTGCATCATGAATAGGCTTTACTTAGTGAACTCTTAAGTGAAGAAAAGTAAGAGAAGTGCACGAAAGCCTTATTTGCAAAAGCCAACAAAACAACTGAGATATTTTTCGGGTTCTTGTTTATTCAGCGAAGAATGTGCTTTCAAACAGATATATACTTGTAACAATGTACGTCAAGATATGTGACAATGAATAGTTGTGTTGAAATTAATGTGATAGACAGTGTCAAAATGAGAACAGCTCAGTGATCTAGAAGTTATTATTATTAGCTTTATTCATTCTACATTTTACATTCTTCATTAATTTCACAGTTGATTTCAACTTGGGACTAAACTTTCAACTTCAGCTAGACAATGTTTTGTATGTATCAAGTTTACTGAAGGATATTTTGTGATGATCGTTTTAAGTTTATACTTCTGATGGCTTACAAATCTTCATGTCTTTGTATTTTTCAAAGAGTATAGGTATTGGATTAGAACAAAATCCATATTTTCAAGAAGTTATGATCAAATTGGAAAGCAATTGGAAAATAAGTTTAAACATTTTCATACATTATTACATTTGCAACGATTTACACTTGTATATCACTGTCCTTTTCAAGAACAATTGCACTGAGAATATAATTTGTGGACTAACTGTGAGCGACTCTGAATTGACCTAGAGACAGCTCACCTACTTGTTTAATGTGGTTGGCGTTGTTTTAGCAAGAATTTTTCTACGGGATGGGGTTTCTGACCTCATCCCCAATCCTACTCTTTTACGAGGGTTCGGGAACAGCACTAACTCTAGAAGAGCTGCAGGCCGAGTTAGCTCACCTACTAAAAATGCCCAAATGAGGTTATAAATTAGTGTGAGGAGTTACGATTCGGATGTCAAGTTAGAATTTAGGCTTACGAATGAAAATGAGGATTTTCATCACGAACTGCCACCAGCAATAATGCTAAAATGTTATTTAACTATGGAGATGAATTGAATTCGCGCGACAATCCAAGACATACTATCACCAATTTCATTGGTTCGCCGACAAATTATGTTCTCGCACAAACTGCTTTTTATCAAGCAATAATCATGTAAAGCTAATTACTTCTCCCTTATTTATATCAGATTGCAGTAATGGATGTAGCTGATTGATTTCAGAACTTGTGAATACCTTGTTTGTTTTGTAGTGACGTTTGAATTGTGTCCATCAAGTCGCAATGTACTTACTAACCTATTAAACTTTGATTGGCAAAAACATCTTGGAAACGAGTTTTGTGTAATTCAGTACTTGTAAACTGGAAGGTATATGCAGAATCTTGAGGAATTATGATTATCTCAGTGAGATGCATAGTCACCTCCTGGTTTAGATTATTAAAGGACTGTTATAATACATAATCAAACGTTCTAAATAGCTTTTAAACTGATTGCCGTTAGGCCAATGCCATAGCTGAATACCTAGAACATCAACTTCTGTGCAATCAACTTTACTTCTTCTGTGCAAAGTATGGTGGATCATATGCATAATGTTTATTTTAGGGTTACGGATATAATAATGGTGTTCTGTTACTTCATCTGTCTAAATTACGATCAACCAATTGGAATCATCTATGGTTAAGTATAACTAGAAGAGCTATTAAACGTCAAGGTTACTTAATCACTGGTGAACAGGTAGGTTTAAACTTCTTACATATTAATCGTAACTACTTTTAGTGACTGTCAATACCTATATGAAGATACCAATTTGCAAATTTCTACCAAACACGCGTTTATAAGGTACACAAAATCTTAATGACACTATTCAAATGAATACTGATCCGGCAAACGAAAAGAAATTGAATAATACTCTACAAACTACCTAGTTCCATAAGTGTGACTACTGAGAAACAAATTCATTCACTATTAAACAGTAGCACATAGTTACAATCTCAACTAGTTTATTAGGAGGAGAAACTTATATCCACAAAGCGAATTACCAGAGTACTGATGTCACTTCATAGCTCAACCATTTATTAAAAATGAATGGGGGGAGAGCAATATCGTCAAGTTATTACACTTGTCATGGAAAGTGTACAACGTCACTCAGCCGGATATTCTATTTGAATGCTTGCGTCTTCCTATAATGACGGGAAGTGATTTATTGATTACATACTATATTCACGCTCATAACACAATCAGATATCGTTTCGACTCCCCTCACATCGTGATGTGGAACACAGTTTATGACCATCATTTTGGAATTACATCAGGATTGATGAGCCTTGAATAATTACACACTGAAAACAATAACTGAGACTTTTAGCCAAAGAGCTTTTAACTTAGCAAACGAAAGAACTGGACCTCCACTCTCAGGAACCATAATTTAAATAGATCTACAGGACACACTGATCGGAGACCTATATACTCTACAGTATACACAAGAATAAATACTGTATCGTGGCTTATAAGTTATCACTTACATAAATGTATGTGGACAATTGTGGACACACATTCGAGTGGAAAAATGTCAAAATCTTGGTAGGAGGGAATAATGAGAACGCTAGCGAATTTGTAGGAGCTTAGCAATCAACAAACACGTTAACATCGATGCAGTTTATTAACCAACCAGAAAAATCATGGAGAAATATATGATGAAGAGTCAGACCAAAGAAAGAGACTATCCACGACTCAATCATTCAGTTCAGCTAAACGAAACTCCATAAAAATCATCCATCAGAGTATTAAGCATTCTATACCATCTCTGAATATTATATGTATACTAACAAGTCAACTGTAATTTATTGATAGAAATAGACATATTAATAGTTAGTTATAGAAGTCAGGGTTTGAATATAAGAAAGCATAAAAGTACCATGAATCTATTGTTTAATGAACAACATTGAGATTTCATCATATTATGAAAACGAGAGGGCATAACATATTCATTACATTGGCACCCGAATGCCTTGGTACGACCGAGAGTGGTGAGAGTCAGCTCTCCCTTTCGAAATACTCAAACATGTTCACGTACATACCACCACTGACAGGGAAGTCCTACTCACTGCCTTCTCTCACCAGGGATGTTGTTTACGAAACTGAGAGGATGAAAAGCGAATGTCCGTTGGTTTAACCGGGTTGGTGGATAAAAAGAATCCACCTAGGATAGTTGGGAAACCATGATTTCATACCAGCGGTGCACATGGGCTGCAGGATCCTGAGTGAACAAATGGCGTATGAACTACTTGTTGGTCAATGACAACCATGAGACTGCATCTTTTGAAGTTATTCTACTGCCTTGTGGATCAGACCGTTAGGTCAAAGGTTCGGGTATGGCCCCCTAATAAAGCTACCTGCCCCGGTATCCCAGCCCCTACATAAATCAACAGACTTGTATGGCGCATATGTACTTGGTGACCCTTCTTACCAATATTTATTTGTTCAAATAAAATAATAAGTTCATTACATTGACAAGAAATAAAATTTGAATGATAATTGGAATAGAGAATTATGTCCATTCCCCCTCTCAGTCCATCATTTATAGAATGTACAAGTGTACTAACACCAGCTTATTTCAAACATCGTCACTTATTTATTCGTTTCCTTATCCACTTTTTAGGATATTTTAAACTTAATATTATTTGAATTCAAATACATTTTATATGAGATTCCATGTGAATGGAATATTCAATTAAGTTCAGGAAGTGATGAACAACGATGTCCTGTAAGTTGGTTAACTTATACAGAATTGAAAAAGCGTAATTATACAACAATGGTTAAACAACCAAAACTTATTCATATTAATCATCATATAAAACCAGATGATATAAATGTGAATTATACACCGACTGAGTACATTGATCAATCAGATATCATTCTTAAACGTAAGTTGATATGTAATGAAATATAATGAAACTAACAACATACAACTCTCATGAATTCATATTATAATTAATAGATGAATTTTAATTATGCATGTTGTGCCAGTTACATGAGACGTACAACTAAACAGGAGACCTGAACTATAATGTTTGAACCTCCCAACGTATGTTCTCCTAACAGTGATGTTTACAACTAAAATTGATCAGTCTCCCACTGACAGATATGCATCCTGTGAGGATTATCTCGATATCGCCTTAATTCACAAGCATTGTAAGCAAAGATGAATGGTGGCTAGCACCGGAATCCAGGGGGGGATTTTCGTCGAATTTCGGACTCATCAGCAAGATATACCTGTATCCCAGATTTGATATTCACTCCTATATTCGAACTTTCGCTTCAAACGTCATCGCGATTTCTACTTATCTACTGTGTGCAGCTAGCAATTAGCACGTGGATTAGTGTTAAGTTTAATTCATTTTGTATTGGTTATTTGAATCTTCCCATTGACGATATGGCCAATAGAGGTTTCATCCTGATAAGTTCCAAATAGGACTATTTGTTAGATACACATGTATTACTCGTCTAAATCAACTATGTGTATACTTTAAAACACTGAAGCACAATATTATGAAGCATTAGTTTCACCTACCATGCTATCAATGACTATAATTATATAATCATGGTGATTCTCTACTGAATTGTAATTTTCTTTGTAGAGTGGGAACTATATGATAAATTCGTGTCAGTTTACCGTCAATATACTCAATTACATGAATCATGTTTCCGATAGATTCAATTGAAGAACCAATCAATTTGATGTTGTTCTTTCAATCATGTAGTTGATGGGCTATTCTTTGTCTTCAATCAATAGAATCGATTATCTTTTATTTTTTGTATTTATATCAATACACTTGAAATAAATTTGGTTAATGATAACAAAGTGATATTCTAAGACTATTTCTATCGAATTATTTGTATCTACTAAGTTGGTGAAATATAGTTGTTGAATGGGATGACTATGGACTATGACCGGGATAAATTGAGATATGAAATAGCATATGGATTGATCATCATATACAACTTGAATGTTAATTAAGTTATGATAATCTTATATTAATAGTAAGTAGTAATGATGTCGATACATAAAAGTATTCGTCTTGTTTATTATAGTCATGTGGTTCTCACTTGTCAGTATATATTGCTTTGTCGGTGTATGTAAAGCTTTAGTGTAGTGTATTATTCATTCCTATGTTAACACTGACAACATGTGATGCGATCGAAGTGAAATATGTTTAACACCATTATTATATATTGTAGTCGGAAAAGTATGATAAGAAATGAAGATTGTGTAATGGTCCAAGGTTTCATCTCTTCATGTTCACGGGATTCAGGAACGCCTGGTTAATCTAATGCTGAAATCATCAAAATTTCAACTTCAAAGAACCTCTGTTCATATGTATATACCTTTATAACACTTCTCATTCATCAAACGTTTAAAATGGTACTCTTAAAAATCGTCTTACATACCATTATATTCAGAAGACTGACATAATATAAATGACAACATATATTTGATCACCTTGTAGATGCATGCAATATCGATGTAATTTCCACCGGGTTTCTATAGATTATAACTGGAAACGTATATTGAACGATTCTTTACATTTTATTCAAGTTTGTAATAACAGTATTCCAAAAAACAAAAGTAATTACGCTGAATATCATAGCCATAATCACAATTCGATTGAGATTATGAATCGATTGATGCCAGACCACCATTGGAAACCAGGAAGCACAAGACGGTCGTTTTGTCCTACTGTGGGACTCCTCAGCAGTGTGCATTCACGGCCATGCCCGCGAAATTCGAAGCCAGAGCCTTCAGTCTCGCGTGCGAACGCCTAACCACTAGACCGCTGGGCTTGCCTGCATCCTACGGTGTTGATATCTAACCTCAACCAATCCACAAAATTGCACGACCATCTTCCATTATACTGAGGTTGACTCCTGTCTCTACCCGAAATGAATTAGCTCCACTAGTCACGGCTTCTCACTAGAACTCCAAAAATTCCCTCATGAAGTTTGTCACTAGTGAGCACATGGTAATTATCAGTATAGGGTTGTGAAGATTGTTAAGTTTTTGATTGAGATCATGAATCGATAATCATGATTTGGTTTTGTAAAATTACATTGAAAAAGCTGACCTTATCGATAAGAAACCGTTTCCATTAATTTCATGGATAGATTCGTAAGGTAATAGTACTTTGACTTATGTGTACCCACAAACTATACAAGATAATGCAACATTTCGGAACGACGTTTTAAATTTTATACGAACATCAATTGTTGACAAATACAAATAGACAATACGTGAAGACCTAAATGTAATGATGAATTTTATTTCATCCTTTATCATTTATTTCATCACCAAATAGACATGCACCACATAAATCTGTGGATTTGTGTGAGAGCCGGGATACTGCCCGTCTGCACAGTTCGAAACAGGTAGTTTTCTTAGGGAGCCTCATTCGAACCTTCGATCTTAAGGTCTGATCCATAAGGCAGTAGTGTAACGTCAGAAGATGCAGTCACATGGCAGCCGGTGACCAATGATTGGTTTATAAGCCATTTGTTCCTTCAGGAACCTGGTGTCCATGTGAACTCTTGGTGTGGAATCATGGTTTTCCAACTCCTCTAGGTGGACTCGGTGACCAACAACCCGGTTAAAGCATCAGATATTGGATTTTTGTCATCTCAATGTCGTAAACAATATCCCCGTCGTGAGAAGGCAGTGAGTAGGACTTCTCCAGAAGTGGTTGTATGCAAGTAGCCATCTGAGAGTATTTTGAGAGGAAGAGCTGACTCTCCCCACACTCGGCCGTGCCAGGGCATTTAGGCATATATAAATATATACAAACTCAGGAGATAAATGTATCTGTATTCATCACAGCCGTATTATTAGTGATATTGTAGTGAACAAGAACACAAGTGAGAACAATCAAATGTTTTTGGACACAAAAATACAAGATGCATCAGTAAAATCTGAGAACTATGCAGTAAATACTTCATTTGCAAAATATCAGTCAACCGTCTGAGAATTCATAGCTCTTTTGATTTCACACTAATCATTCTCTGTCCTCATTCTCTTTTTCTTCAATCTTCTTAACGTTCTGCCTCCAGACATTTCACTTTCGATTGATGATACATACTACTTATATCTGTCGACATCATTAGCACACATCATAACGAAGAAATACCAAAACATGAAAAAGTTATCACAGTCAAAACAGTCATTTCTTTTTTTCTTACCAATGACTAATCAATAAATAGGCATACAGTCAAATAATAAAGTTTACACGGATACACACCCAACATCACTTAAGATAATATTCCGTTTATAGCCGAGTGTCATGAATCATGACCAATCATACGTTGCAACGGACATGATTAAACATGACGCGTGCCTAACTTAATCTAAACGCCCATTGATCTGTCGATTTCTAGCCTTGAGTCAGGAAATGTTGAACTGTATCCAACTTTCTAGCTTTATATTTCGACAATTCAGCATTTATCTTAAACAATTATTAGCTTATCGGACATTAAGGGGCCTCAAATACGAAATTGTACCCTGCATATTATCAGGTTATAATTAGTATAGAATTAATATGTAATTAAGTAGCAAGAATGAAGGATGGTAGTAAAATGTTAAACGATAGAATTACCTTAATACAATTAACAATTGATTATATAATAAACATATAAATAATAATCCGTAAACTAGTCCTATATGTTATACTTTCCATAGTAGTCACTCTACTACAACACTTCAGGAAAACATACCAAAATGGATAACTATTTCCCACACTGTCGAATCAAGAATCGGAGAGCATAATTAGTAGTTTTCTAGAATTGTCTTGGATGTTTCTAGAAAGCAGTGACTAGTCAAAGCAACCTACGTGACATCTGAAGATATTTTAAAGAGTGTTTGTACCACTTTAGACAAGTGTACTATTCATTATGAAGAACTAACTGATTGAGAGTTATGTAATTTAACGTGGAAAATGCAATATCATCCATCAGTAGTAAACTTCTTTGGATAACTCTCATAAGTGAATAATGTAAAGCCTACAAACAGTATTTACGCCTGTTATTCAGATTTAGCAATTGTTTTATTGACAGCTTGTTCAGTTTGCTTGAGACTGACGAAAGTAATATTATGCGAGTCAGGAATGAAATGTTTGGCAGCAGAAGATGAGGGAAGATCAAGAAAGGAAGAGCGAGAATGGAATGCAATTCGTATGAAAATGTAGCAACAATGAAGTTTGAGGCATTTTGAGACAATTGGTGGACATTTTGCAAATTACCGATTTAATATATAGTTCTCAGATTTTATTGAGATGCTCTGTAATTGTACGTTAGATTCATTCGATTGTCCTCACACGTGTTCTGTTCAGTACAACAATAGTTGTCTCGACGATCACAGTAGGGCAATCATTTCACATGGGTTTTTTTATAGAATAAAGAAGGCCATTTGTCGTGAATAGAAGACACCTATAAGTGCTTACAATGAATCCCAGGGAAATGGGATCATACACAAGTGAACATAATCCACGATCGTGTTTCATTAGAAAATAGAAGAGTTACATAGTAATTTGACTCATTACATAACCCGCTAAAAAATAGGGAAGTGTTAGGATGCGATAAAATGATGAAACAAGATTATTAACTCGATGTAATTATTCTCTTCATTATTGATGCAGATACATCCAGTTGAATAGTTCCAAATCTCACATCCTAGATTTCACTACTAGTCACCATCCATAGTTACTTATTATTGATCGTTATTAGAATCCTAATTTATTTTTTGAATATTAATTCAATCGTATTTTACTGCATTAATCTACTCCATTTTTCTATTGATTTTAATGTTATAACATGTGATATGAAGTTCTTTTGTGTTTTTTTGTTGTCTCAGTTATTCTATGCATTTTCCTGTGATATGTGATGATAGTGTGGTTGTTATTTTTTTCAGGAAATCAGTACAATTTTCTACAAATCAATATTCATCAAATGAGTGCAGTCATGATTGTATTCGATGTGTGTTAATGGGGGTGGTGGTGATGATGATGGTGGTGGTGGTGGTGAGGAGTAAAGTTAATCTGTTTTAATTATTCACTTTTCGATCATATTTGAGTTGTGAAACAGATTTCAGTTTGATGTAACGATAATGAGTACAAGATGATTAGGAGGTTCATTTGTTCCTGTGGAGATAACTTCATCGACTGTACTACTAGGTAATTTAATGAACATATAAGTGAACATCTCTGAGTTTGTAAGCAAAGATGGATAGTGGCTAGCAGCTGAATCCAGGACGCGCGTTTCGTCCTGTTTGAGACTCGTCAGCTGGGTGTACCTGCATCTCAGAGTTGATGTTCACTCTGGGACTCGAACTCAGTACCGCTCACTTCAAACGCCATCGCGTTATCCACTTAGCTACTGAGTCCTGATAGCCATTTGCTTGTGCAATGGGTTGAAGTTTAATTCACTTGATATTGTTTTACTTGAATCTTCCCATTGATGTTTTTGGACTGAAATTGATCAGTCTCTTATTGGCATATGTGCATACTGTGCGTATGCCTCGATATTGCCTTAATTTACATCCAGCTGACGAGTCTCAAACAGGACGAAACGCGCGTCCTGGATTCCACTGCTAGCCACTATCCATCTTTGCTTATAATGCTTGTAAATTAAGGCAATATCGAGGCATACGCACAGTATGCACATATGCCAATA